TCAGTGATCAGTGATCAGTAATCGGTAATCAGTAATCGGTAATCGGTAATCGGTAATCGGTAATCGGTAATCAGTAATCGGTAATCGGTAATCGGTAATCGGTAATCGGTAATCGGTAATCGGTAATCGGTAATCGGTAATCGGTAATCGGTAATCGGTAATCGGTAATCGGTAATCGGTAATCGGTAATCGGTAATCGGTAATCGGTAATCGGTAATCGGTAATCGGTAATCGGTAATCGGTAATCGGTAATCGGTAATCGGTAATCGGTAATCGGTAATCGGTAATCGGTAATCGGTAATCGGTAATCGGTAATCGGTAATCGGTAATCGGTAATCGGTAATCGGTAATCGGTAATCGGTAATCGGTAATCGGTAATCGGTAATCGGTAATCGGTAATCGGTAATCGGTAATCGGTAATCGGTAATCGGTAATCGGTAATCGGTAATCGGTAATCGGTAATCGGTAATCGGTAATCGGTAATCGGTAATAAGTAATAAGTAATAAGTAATCAGTAATCAGTAATCAGTAATCAGTAATCAGTAATCAGTAATCAGTAATCAGTAATCAGTAATCAGTAATCAGTAATCAGTAATCAGTAATCAGTAATCAGTAATCAGTAATCAGTAATCAGTAATCAGTAATCAGTAATCAGTAATCAGTAATCAGTAATCAGTAATCAGTAATCAGTAATCAGTAATCAGTAATCGTTGATCGTTGATCGTTGATCGTTGATCGTTGATCGTTGATCGTTGATCGTTGATCGTGATCGTTGATCGTTGATCGTGTCGTGATCGTTGATCGTTGATCGTTGATCGTTGATCGTTGATCGTTGATCGTTGATCGTTGATCGTTGATCGTTGATCGTTGATCGTTGATCGTTGATCGTTGATCGTTGATCGTTGATCGTTGATCGTTGATCGTTGATCGTTGATCGTTGATCGTTGATCGTTGATCGTTGATCGTTGATCGTTGATCGTTGATCGTTGAATCGTAATTATTAATTATAATTCTGATTATTGATTATTGATTATTGATCGTGATCGTTGATCGTTGATCGTTGATCGTTGATCGTTGATCGTTGATCGTTGATCGTTGATCGTTGATCGTTGATCGTTGATCGTTGATCGTTGATCGTTGATCGTTGATCGTTGATCGTTGATCGTTGATCGTTGATCGTTGATAGTTGATAGTTGATCGTTGATCGTTGATCGTTGATCGTTGATCGTTGATCGTGATCGTTGATCGTTGATCGTTGATCGTGATCGTTGATCGTTGATCGTTGATCGTTGATCGTTGATCGTTGATCGTTGATCGTTGATCGTTGATCGTTGATCGTGATCGTTGATCGTTGATCGTGATCGTTATCGTTGATCGTTGATCGTTGATCGTTGATCGTTGATCGTTGATCGTTGATCGTTGATCGTTGATCGTTGATCGTTGATCGTTGATCGTTGATCGTTGATCGTTGATCGTTGATCGTTGATCGTTGATCGCTGATCGTTGATCGTGATCGTTGATCGTTGATCGTTGATCGTTGATCGTTGATCGTTGATCGTTGATCGTTGATCGTTGATCGTTGATCGTTGATCGTTGATCGTTGATCGTTGATCGTTGATCGTTGATCGTTGATCGTTGATCGTTGATCGTTGATCGTTGATCGTTGATCGTTGATCGTTGATCGTTGATCGTTGATCGTTGATCGTTGATCGTTGATCGTTGATCGTTGATCGTTGATCGTTAATCGTGATCGTTATCGTTATTATCGTTAATCGTTAAGCGTTAATCGTTAATCGTTAATCGTTAATCGTTAATCGTTACGTAGCGGTAATCGGTAATCGTTAATCGTTAATCGTTAATCGTTAATCGTTAATCGTTAATCGTTAATCGTTAATCGTTAATCGTTAATCGTTAATCGTTAATCGTTAATCGTTAATCGTTATTAATTATAATTATTAATTATTAAGTATTAAGTATTAATTTTCAATTAATTATCAATATCAATAGCAATTATCAATTATCAATTATCAATTATCAATTATCAATTATCAATTATCAATTATCAATTATCAATTATCAATATCAATTATCAATACAATTATCAATTATCAATTATCAATTATCAATCAATTATCAATTATCAATTATCAATTATCATATCAATTATCAATTATCAATTATCAATTATCAATTATCAATTATCAATCAATTATCAATTATCAATTATCAATTATCAATTATCAATTATCATATGACAATTATCAATTATCAATTATCAATTATCAATTATCAATATCAAATCAATTATCAATTATCAATTATCAATTATCAATTATCAATTATCAATTATCAATTATCAATTATCAATTATCAATTATCAATTATCAATTATCAATTATCAATTATCAATTATCAATTATCAATTATCATCGATTATCGATTATCGATTATCGATTATCGATTATCGATTATCGATTATCGATTATCGATTATCGATTATCGATTATCGATTATCGATTATCGATTATCGATTATCGATTATCGATTATCGATTATCGATTATCGATTATCGATTATCGATTATCGATTATCGATTATCGATTATCGATTATCGAGTATCGAGATCGATTAGCGATTATCGAATCGATTATCGATTATCGAGTAGCGATTATCGATATCGATTATCGATTACCAATTATCAATTAGCAATGATCAATAGCAATTATCAATTATCAATGATCAATTATCAATATCAATTATCAAGATCAATTATCCAATTAGCAATTATCAATTTATCAATTATCAATAGCAATTATCAATTATCAATTAGCAATATCAATTATCAAGATCAATTAGCAATTATCAATTATCAATTATCAATTATCAATTATCAATTATCAATTATCAATTATCAATTATCAATTATCAATTATCAATTATCAATTATCAATTATCAATTATCAATTATCAATTATCAATTATCAATTATCAATTATCAATTATCAATTATCAATTATCAATTATCAATTATCAATTATCAATTATCAATTATCAATTATCAATTATCAATTATCAATTATCAATTATCAATTATCAATTATCAATTATCATTATCAATTATCAATTATCAATTATCAATTATCAATTATCAATTATCAATTATCAATTATCATTATCAATTATCAATTATCAATTATCAATTATCATATCAATTATCAATTATCAATTATCATTATCAATTATCAATTATCAATTATCAATTATCAATTATCATATCAATTATCAATTATCAATTATCAATTATCAATTATCAATTATCAATTATCAATTATCAATTATCAATTATCAATTATCAATTATCAATTATCAATTATCAATTATCAATTATCAATTATCAATTATCAATTATCAATTATCAATTATCAATTATCAATTATCAATTATCAATTATCAATTATCAATTATCAATTATCAATTATCAATTATCAATTATCAATTATCAATTATCAATTATCAATTATCATTATCAATTATCAATTATCAATTATCAATTATCAATTATCAATTATCAATTATCAATTATCAATTATCAATTATCAATTATCAATTATCAATTATCAATTATCAATTATCAATTATCAATTATTAATTATTAATTATTAATTATTAATTATTAATTATTAATTATTAATTATTAATTATTAATTATTATTATTATCATTATTATTATTATTATCATTATTATTATTATCATTATTATTACTATTATTATTATTGTTATCATTATCGTTATCGTTATCGTTATCGTTATCGTTATCATTGTCATTGTGATTGTCATTGTCATTGTTATTGTCATTATCATTATTATTATGATTATTATTATCTCACCAGGAATGTGAGATTGTTGAGATTACTCACCGTCAGTTGATGCAATGGCCAATGATTGAGAAGTTGTGGCCGTCGCTTTGACTGACGTCCTAGGAGCAGTGGCAGGTGAAGTTGATAGGTTTAGTGAAGCAAAGTGTTTTGAATTGACTGACAATTTAAATTTGTATTCTGCAGCATAAGGGCGCGCGTTCTCCTGGGAAAGAATCGTACTTCTTTTTGGAATGCTTCTCCATTTCGAGCGATAAGCGGGTATCACCTGTGTTTTTAGAAGATTAGAATAGTATGCAGCATTGATGAAACATTGGGTGCTCAGGAAGTCGACGTACAGTACGGCGAATGCTGTCTGGTGTGATGCTGGTTCGCGGTCGACGATCATGTGCCTGAGTCTCGACGGTTTCGCGGCCATCCTTCAATGCTATGGCCCATTTAAACATAGCAGCCCTACACAGGCACTCACTACAGAACTGATTTCGCAAACGTAGAAGAATTACCGTATTTTTAACGCCTTCCCACATTAAAAACGAATGACAATACGTTGCGCAACGGCGGTCGGCACTAGACCTTCACTCATGGCCGTTAGAACGCGTGTGAAACATGCGCTTATAACGAAAGCTGTGCTACACTGTTCGTAAGGGATGCAGCTGTCATATACTCAAGCCACGACCTTCATGACATACATGCGTGCCATCTACAGCATTGGTCTCCATCATATCTGAACCGCCCTCGTATTTAGCTGTTTTGGTCCATAACTGTCTAAGTCAGTTCGTTTATTTTGGGTCAGGCGCTGGATGGTTCTGTGTCCTACAGCTTACGATTCACTTTTCTATCGAAAAACTTTCACGAGCAAATATATGACCTCTTGTCAATTATCTCTTACACAGGGCGAAGATCAGATTAACGTGCAATGGATTCTGACATAGCGCTTCAGCGCTGTAGATTCCCGGAAGCGTCAATTTTTTTTACCGTACTACTCTTTCAACAGTAATTCAAAGCTTGTATTGAATCTGTCATTAACGTCTTTACGGTACTTTGCTGTATGAAAGTATTAAGCATACTCGTTTTACTTTTCAGAACCGATGACATGCTGACTCGAATATTTATGTTATGTTCTAGATAGCTGGAGTAGCATTAAACGGCACATGCAATAAAGGTGACGTTGAGAAGTCGCTGGAAAACATGAAGACAGTAGATAGCGTTCCTTTCCATCGAATTTTTGGCCTACTGAATAACGTGAACAAACAAGTTGATCTTTTCAGCAAATACAATGTAGATAAGATATTCGACCTGAGGATATTGTCCGTTGATGCTCAATTCAGAGGGAGAGGAGTTGCCAAGGAGTTGTTTTCGAGGAGTGAGATTATAGCAGAGGAATATGGTTTCCAGGTAAGCTTCAGTAGGGCTTTTCGTGTAAATATCATAGAGAAAGTAGCCGCACTGCTAACCAGTGATGCCATTTGTTAGCTATAATGTGCTGTATCAGAAGGTGAATAAGAACCTTTTAGAAATACTCAGCTCTTGTTGAACTTAACGTATTTTCATAGCAGAGGCTTGTAATTTTCGAAAAGGTTCTCCTATTACTTCTTTCTCAATAACCACAAGGATGATATAACGCTTGAAACGGATCCTGTGGTTTTCATGCTGATGAATCTCTATGTTTTTTCTGGCTGTCAAATGAAACTGCATATATACTATTTACTAACATATCTATCCCATAGGTTGCCTTTTTCAAAGTACTAGGATTTTGATGACAGTTCCGATGTCACGTCATATTTTTTTAGATTTTGTAAAATTTATTGTGCAACTTGAATAGCGCTCCTTAAATAATCTATGAGGAGGGTAAGACCAATAAGTAATTTTTGTCAAATTTATCTCTTAGGCCCAATTTCACCAACATTGATATTTGAAGGTACCTTGGACCAATGGGAAAATAGCTTATCGAAATGCAAATTGACAGAAGCTTCCAAAGGTCTCTGAATATCAGTGATTTCTATTGAAATGTTGAATAAACTCGTGAAAAAATGGTTGCCTTATAAATAAGAGTACAATATAGATGTAAAATTATGTCTTTATGCTTTAGAATTAGGAAAACTTTCATAGAATCTCCAGTTTCACAAAAGATGGTCAGTTATTTAAGTCGGACCAATGGGAATGCGGCAAATAATAGGTCGATTTTCTAGCTATTATATTTGGTAGGATGTTTTCACTGTTTTTGGCGTCTGTTAAACAAGCAATCTTCCGAGTGGCACACGACGGCGTCTCCTCGCCAAAAAAAGGGAAGAATGAGCAAATCCAAAGTGAAAACCAAGCTCATTGTCTTTTTTGACATCAAAGGCATCGTCCACCATGAATTTGTTCCTCCTGGACAAACCGTCAACGACAAATTTTACGTGGAAGTGCTCAGGAGGCTCAAACGAAGGGTCAGTCGGGTTCGACAAGACATCGCAGCCGACTGGAAGTTGCACCACGACAACGCCCCGGCTCACACCGCCTTTCTTGTGAACAGCTACCTGCCCAACGCTTCCGCAGCCGCCCTACAGCCCAAATGTGCCCCCCCGGACTTTTTTTTGTTTCCTCGCCTGAAAAAGCCGATGAAAGGCAAGCATTTTGAGACGACAGAGGGGATCCAAGCAGCATGCACCGCGGCTCTCAAGGCTATTCCTGAGAATGCCTTCCGTGCCGCCTTCAATGCTTGGAAATCGCGCTGGCAGCGCTGCATCGACGCAGATGGAGCCTATTTTGAAAGTGTTTAAAGAATTGTAACGATTGGCTCAATACATTTTTTTAAATCGACTCAGTCCTATTACTTTCCGGACAAACACTGTATTTAGCCATCAGTTTTTGTTTAATAATTTCTGAATGACATAGTAGATCCTTTTCAACATGTGTGGTCTGCGAGAGAATGCAGGCAGGCTGCAATATTTTATAAAAATGGTGTCCTGAAGACATGGCTCTCAGCCAATACATCTAGGACTGAGCTGGCCCTCTTCATCAAGAAATGGAAGATAGAATATTTCAATCCGTCGACCTTCCACGGTGTACCACTAACTCTTAGTCAAGAAGTAAAATACCAATATCTACAAGAAATCGATAGCGACCATGTGGCAGATGCGTCGGGTAGTTGGCAGGTCCTGGAAATTAAAACCAAAGCTCCTGCACTGGCTTTTTACCACCATGGTAAGGCACATGATACAGTATAGATGCGTGGCCTGGAGAGGCGAGAGTATGCCTGTGGACAAAGACATGCAGGAGAGCTACGAGCTTGCAATCTACACAACTATCTTCCAGTCAGAGGTATTTGCCATCATAGTGGTGGCATCCTCAGAGGAGATTTGACAATGTACCGAGAGGAGCATATTAATAGGTTCCGACGGTCAAGCAGCCCTGAAGGTCGTAGCATTCCCAATGACAAGGTCACCCTTACTTCAGGAATGAACTACTTCCGTTTAGAGTATAGCCACATCTAAAGAAGTGTCTCTCCTTTGGGTCCTAGCACACAGCAGAGTACCTGGCAACTAGAAAGCTGATCGCCTGGCTAGGCTGGGGGCAGAAGCACTTACATCGGTCCCAAGCATATGCTGGACATACGCAGGGATCAGATCAACATCGCAAGGGAGACGACTGCAGACAGGTCAAAAGAGGGTGGATTTCACCAAGGTTGTCAAATCAACAGTCCGTTATCCTCCACCTATATGGTAACAGTCCGTCAAATACAACGAATCAGCTTCAAGTTCCAATCAACAAAGTTTGGCAACCAATAGCTATGAAATGTTGAAAACAAAATACTGTCAAAGTATGAGATAACAACTTGTCATTGAAACATCCCCAGCTTATTGAATATTAAGAAATTACATATAATTTAGTCAAAATTTAAAGAAATATTTGATTTTTGAATTAATTTCATGTTTTAATTACTATTGTTGATTTATTTATTCATGTTTATATTATTATCTTCAATTGATATGCTATTTTACTGATTCAACATCACCTACCGAGTGTTCTTTTCCTATAAACCTCTTGCAGATAGAAATTAAGCAGCTACTTGATGACAGGCTCTACCAAAAAGTTCATAGATATTGCTCGTTTCCAAACATTCATTCATTTTTTTGCCGTTCATCAGAACCATTACGACACCTTAGATTGATATTCCCACAAAACCATTCAGGTTTTTTGATATCCAAACATCCATAAAGTTGAATATTATTCGTTGTCCAGGAACTGAACAAACATCCACACTAGATTCACAGCGATTAAGAAATACTCAAATATATGTTTTAAAGCTACCAGCAAACCTAAAACCTGCAAAGACTACAAATTTGCCATATTTTTCTTTTTTTACCAGTACACATTCTATACTCTGGGCGCTGAAGAAAGACATTGAACGTAAACAGTGATCAGCACGTGAACAGATCCCTCGAAAGCATCCACGGATATACTCCAGTCACTTTAGGTCTAAACATCCTCGGCAGTGTATTTCTAGTGAATCCACAGACCCTTTTTCGTGTCATCTTGAGACTAGAAAAAGGATGACTGTTAAAATAAGTTACCTTGATCTTTCATGAGCTCCCAGTACAAAACATCATCGATATATTTTTGATGTAGGAACAACAAATTGGTTTAGAAAACATCCACTTTGAACCTAAATTGACTGGAGTAACATCGATCTACAGACAAATTCAAGGTCACTAGCAGTCGTCGGCGCTCTACGAATCTGCACAGGTTTGGACTTGTAAACGTGATTGTAGATGACACGACAGGCATTTAATTAACAGTTAATTCACGCACAGGATTGCATTGCATACGCATTACGCATTCAGTAGCGTATACTCGTTTTTCGCGAGTGGAACGTTTTGTTTATATATTGCCTAAGATACGATGTCTGACACAGATACAGCCGACGAAGTGGTTGACATCAGCGCAACCCCACCCAAAAAAAGAGCTAAGAAGCTACATTTAAGTGCAAATGAAAAACAAATAGTATTAAATATATTCAATAAATAAATTCAAGAAAAACCCGATTTGGTCGTGGACGAAGTTATATGTAAGGTAGCACATATTTCTGGAGTATGTCAGTCCAGTGTTTATAGGATCATTAAGGAATATAGGAGCACTCACTCACTTTCTGAGCCAAAACCGTATCCTGCAAGAAAAAGGATAACGGACGGAGTAGATGACTTTGACAGAACTGCCATCAGGAGGAAAGTGCATAATTTTTTCTTCCGAAAAGAGATACCTACAGTAGATAAGATATTAAGATTAGTTAATGCTGATGAGGATCTTCCATCATTTAAAAGAACCACATTCCGAAAACTTTTGAAGGAACTTAATTTTCGATTCTTGAAACGGGGAAGAAACAGTATGTTAATAGAGAAAGAAGAAATTGTTGTGTGGAGAAGGGAATACCTTAGGAAGATTCGGAAGTTTCGCGATGAAAAAAGAAAAATTTACTATTTGGACGAAACGTGGGTGAATGCTGGACATACTCAAGCGAAAGTTTGGGTGGACAAATCAGTAACATCATCAAGGCAGGCTTTTCTAGACGGTCTTTCGGCTGGATTGAAAAATCCTGCAGGTAAGCTCCTTCATCTATCCGGCAATTTAATTTTGATAAATTCGGGCAAATAATATGCTATGATAGCAGATAATGTGTGATATTCTCCAAAAATGGTGCATTCGCAGTGTAGTCATTAGGAAAAAAACTTCGACCCTCTTTTAAGCGTTATTTTGAAATTTATTATCATTTTTGGGTGCAGTCAATTTGCTTTGAATGGGTTTTGAGAAGTTGCAAACTTCAATTTTCTACGTTTTTCAGTTTTTGATCAGCATTCCGTGACTCTTAAATTCAGCTAAATGAACTCAATTGCCTCATTCCTTCAAATTTAATCAATCCATAGTGTAAGGAATAATTTATTTCCAGGAAAAGGCAAACGGCTGATCATTTGTCACGTAGGTAGTGAAGACGGCTTTGTTCCCGAAGCACTGTGGGCCTTTGAATCAAAAAAGACAGGGGACTATCATGAGGAGATGGACGGCAATTCCTTTGAAAATTGGTTCTCCAAAATGTTACTAAAGCTGGAGAATAACGCTGTTATTGTACTGGATAATGCCCCGTACCATTCTTGAAAAATAGAAAAAATTCCCACAATGGCAACTAAAAAAGCAAACATACAACAATGGCTGGCCTCAAAACAGATCGATTTTGATGAAACAATGGTCAAGGGTGAATTGATAAGTATAGTCAATAGACATAAATACAAATACGATTTTAAAATGATCGACGAAATGGCCAAAAAACAAAATAAAACTGTCTTGAGACTGCCACCCTACCATTGTGAGCTGAACCCTATTGAGCTGATTTGGGCCAACATAAAGCAATACGTGGCGTC